ATCTATTATTTTTTATACAGGATTAATCAAACAATTCTTAAAGGATGTTGATTGGGGAGAACTTGATTTCCTTTTGGAAGCCTATTTGCGTTAATAATGATTTTTTAGCAACTATTTGAATTGAATATTTGAACTACAATAATAATAATTATTATAACCATTTATTCTTTTTCCTTATATAATCTTTTTCGCTTAAATTAATCAAATAAATGACTGGTTTTGCTGTGAGTAACTGTAGCGTATTAATTATCTCAACCTGCATCGGAATTTGAGTAAATAAATAATTAATATTTCAAAAATTAAAATATTTTATTCTTTCTAAACGAACGTACTTCTTTATTCGTCCAATTTGCTTTTCGAACGTCTTTATTTTCCTCTGAAACTAATTTGAGTAATTTTTGTGAAACATCCTATACTCAAAAATAGTTAATATACAGTTAATTAATTCAAGAAATAAATATCTCTTACCAATTCTTCCTTTTTGGCTTTATCGGCTGCGGAGGGGGCTTTTCCTAAACGTGCGGTGACTTTAGATAAATCTTCGACCCGTCTCGTCAAAAATTCTTCATCCTTGAGCCGAAGCTCATTGTGAATAATCTCAAGATCACGTATTGGATCAAGTTCACCTTCAACGTGAATTACATCCTCTTCCGAAAAACCACCTATTTTTAATTATATTTCTTAATCGGTATATATTTGTGATAGCAACAATCACATAAAAAATAAATGTACATACGAACAACATGAAAAATTGCATCAACGGCTCGTATATGACTCAGAAAATTATTTCCCAAGCCAGCACCAGTAGCTGCACCTTTTACCAACCCAGCAATATCAATTACTGTAAGATATGCTGGTACTCTAGAAGCTGGTTGATAAAGTTCACATAGCCAGTCAAATCGTTCGTCTGGAACGGCTACACGTGACTCTTCCGGATCTTTGTTTCAAAATATATTGATTAAGTCAAGATTTTTAAACAAGACATATGCTACGTGATTTTTACCGATTGTACAAAAAGGATAATTCTCGGCTGCTACTGCACTTTTGGTGATGGCATTGAAGAACGTCGATTTTCTATATAATTGATGATTTATTTGATTGATCAATGGCTCCTCTTCTTTAATTCTCAATGCAGTCTTACCCAACATTAGGTAGCCCAACCACCCCAATTTTCAGATTATTACTTGGTCTACCAAGCAAGACCTTTTCCTCTTTGACAACCTTCTTTGGCGGCATACTTTTCTTTTGCAATTTAACAGAAGAATGGAAACTTTTTATGAACACCAAAGAATTGAGGTTCAATAGATTTGATAATAATCGAGGAAAAGAAAGTGAATCCACAAAAATTGGTTTCGAGCGAGAAGAAAAATGCATAAAGAAGATCGACCAATTTTTATTGATTAGTGTGTAGATTATCTTTAGATAAGCGTGGGAAATTAGAGTATTAACATGTGACTTAATTTTGTTGGGGGCGTAGTAATAATGAAAACATCGTGTAATTTCATTACACGAATAATTTAACTCGGCAATGCAATGTGTAAATGTATTTAATTAAAGTGTAAACGTAAAGATCTCCGGAAAAGAGAAAACTTACTCTGCGGTGATTGTTGCATGTGTATGAAAAGAGTAGAACCGCAGATGAAGAAACGCAGCAAATAGCGGGCAAAGCACATACACATGTATTAAATAAACATGTCATCTGCGATAGGAGTAAAAGGGTGATAATTTTTACCGCGTATAATCGTAAAATAATAATAATTCACCCGCAAAAAGTTATCCGTCGTTATACACTTATCTGTTATCTTCGTTTTAGGTGCAAGTCATCTGAACAATAACAAACACCAAATCGTGTCATTAAATAAGATTTACGTAAATATACTGCTGATTCTGATGGCATCAAAGCGCGAGAAATGGCAGAATGGAAATGCAAATCAACAGGCGCATTATGTAACATAGGGAATATAACACTTTATTTTCATAGTTAACTCTATTTGTTCTACAACTGCGTCATAATTAGAAATCCTTGGTAAAAATGGAAAATTGGGTCACCCATTCGGAACGACCGATTATACAGGTGGGTTTGTATTGCATTTTAATATGCATATTGGACTCGTGACTCTTTATTTCAGGAGCGTTACATCTGAACACTTTATTATCATTTATCGCGCGTTATCGTAACGTATATGAGATTTTTCACTAGTCTATTTATACTCTATATATTCCTTTTTATGTGATGCAACATTCAACACTCGAAAGCAACCACTAAATAATAATACGTGTACACACGCGTATTCAGCAAGAAATTCACTATAAAATTCCTCATCCTCCTCCCATCTTTGCCATCACCAAAACAAATAATCGCATTAAACATAATACCATACCTCCTAATTACCTTAATTATCTACACGCGCGCACACACATTTTTTGTATTATATTCATACTTATATTTACCTACGCATCATTCATTATTCGTATAATAAAAATGACTACCGAACAAACTTGGGAAGAGATTGCTGAATGGGAATACGAAGAAGAAGACATTGAACTTGCTAAACACATCACTGTACACTCTATTCCAAATCCTGTTTCAATTGATGTAGAAGACAATAATATCAATGAAGTAGAAGACGACAACGACGAGGGTGACGAATATCAATTCATTCAAAACCATAAAGCGCCCACATACGCTGCTGCAATAAAATGGGGAGCACATTCACACAGTAACAATAACAATAGTAATAATAACAATAATAAAAGCAAGAAGAGTAAAAATAATAATAGCAATCATACAAACGATGAAAATATCGACTCGTCATCCTCTCCTCCCGTTTCTCCTGTCGCCACCTTCTCAAAGAAACACAAAGCTGCAAAGAGAATGGTGGCACAGAACGAAATAGCAGCTTCTGACTCCAAAGTTCCTTCTGCCACTATTAACTTCGAAGACGACGAGGTGGATGACGAAGCATCCAATCTTCATCTTATCAATGAATCTCCGGGTGCTCGTTCAGCTGCGCGTCGTGCAAATGCTCATGCCCATAAGCTACAAGCCAAACGACTTCAAGCTCAGTTAGTTAGCAACACCGAATTGGAATTCTGGGAGAATTCTGCACGTGGTGACACAAATCGTAATCCTGAATTTGTGAAATCAAAAATTTGTAAGAAAGCTATGAAGTACAATAAAGGCGTCAAAAAGGATAGAAAAGGATTAGAAAAATTTAAAACTGAAGTTTGGTAACTCGATAATTTATTTAAGTATACAATGTAACAGTAATGATATAATATTAATGAGAACTCTTCTTATCTTCTTCGTATTATATGATTCACACATTTCGAAATTTTGGTATCACCATATAAATTTATTCTTTTCCCTTTTTCAGAGAGTAAATAATAATGATAATAATAATAATAATAGTAAGATTGTTTCCCTTTCAGAATAATAGAATTAACTCATTGTGATAATTGACATAAAGAATAACAATATACAAAGTATATTTCGAATAAAATAGAGAGCACAATGTTTCTGAATTGGAAAACGAAGATTTTTAATTAAACAATAACCTATATAAAATACAAAATAATCTTTGTTCTCATAGGAAATAAAGATATGATTGATGGCAGCACCGCGTTATCTTCTTGCAAAAATTCTCTATTAATTTGTCACATGTTTCTTTATCTCTGAGAGTTGTCAATTTTTCGGTTCGATGGAAAGAACAAAGGATGAGCAACAAGTTCATATGATACAATCAGGTACAAAGATGGTTATTTATTTACCTTCAATAATATCTAGATAAGCCCTAGTGGCTGGAGAATCGGGATATTCGTCCAAGAACGAAATTCCGGCATCACATGATTTTCCTATAAAATTGATTCAGTTAATTTTAATAAAAACAAAAAGTAATTTTCCATATTTATATATACCAATTCTAGGATCCAGCGGAATCGAACCTAAATATGGAATATCAACTTCTTCTGCCATTTTTTTCGCTCCTCCGGTAGTGGGTGCAAAGATAACAGACTCACCCTAATATAATTTAAATTTTAAATTATTCATTTCCAATTTCCAATCCCAAATTGAGGAGTTATATTATTATTAATAAATTAATGAATAGTACTTCAAAGATAAGATTAAATTAAAATTAAAAAAAAAAGTAAATATTTACATGACAATTTGGACATATGAATCCACTCATATTTTCTACCACACCAATAATTGGTATCTTCACTTTTCGACAGAAATCGATTTCCTTTCGCACATCTTGGATCGATACTTCCTGCGGCGTTGTTATTAATATTGCGCCATCGATTCCACTTTCTTTTAGATATTGCGTTATTGATAGGTGTTCGTCCGAGGTACCCGGTGGTGTGTCTACCAAAAGGAAATCAAGTTCTCCCCAATCAACATCCTTTAAGAATTGTTTGATTAATCCTGTATAAAAAATAATAGAT